CCGCTAAACGCCTCCGTCCACGCCAGGCCAGATGGGCATTGTTTTTTGCAAGGTTTAATCTCCACATAACTTATCGTCCTGGGTCAAAAAACACTAAGCCAGATGCTCTTTCCAGGATGTTTGAGGACCCTGGAGAGACCCCCCAGCCAGACACCATCCTGCCAGCAGGTAGCTTCCTACTGCTTCAATCTGAGCTGTTGTCTAAATTGCAGGCTGCTTCCACCCGGGTCTCTGACCCGCCTGGAGTCTCCCTACTGAATAAGGAGGGGCTCTTTTGGAAGGGGGAACAGATCATGGTACCCAAGGAGGTCCAGTCCCTGGTGTTAGGTTACTGCCATGACCATCCCCTAGCGGGGCACTTTGGGATACATAAGACTATAGATCTGGCACGACGCACATTTTGGTGGCCAAACATGGCCAAGGATTGTGAAGCGTACGTGAGATCTTGCCCCATCTGCAACTGGAATAAACCTACCAGAGACAAGGCCTGGGGCCTATTGAGACCTTTACCAATACCTGACCGTCCCTGGAGTATGATCTCCTTAGATTTTATTGTAGAATTGCCACCCTCGCAAGATCACACCGTGATCTTTGTGGTAGTGGATCGCCTTTCTAAATGGCCCATTTCCTTCCACTAGCCAAGACACCATCTGCCTCCGAAACAGCCCAAGTGTTCATTAGAGAGATTGTGAGGCTTCACGGAGTGCCAAGAGAGATTGTCTCAGACCGGGGAGTGCAATTTACATCTAAATTCTGGAAAGCGCTATGTGAGGGGCTGGAGATTAAGTTATCTTTCTCGTCAGCATATCACCCCCAGACAAACGGGCAGACAGAACGAACCAATCAGACGCTCGAGCAATATCTGAGATGCTACACATCATTCCTGCAGGATGACTGGCTGACACTTCTACCAAGGCAGAATTCGCATATAATAATGCAAATCATTCTGCCACCAACCAATCCCCATTCTTTGCCAATTATGGGTTCCATCCTACCTTCCTGTTAGACCTGGTTCCTGAGAACTCAGTCCCGGCAGCCCAGGACACCTTAGAATTCTTTACTACCAATAACAAGGTATTACAGGAAACCATGGCTAAGGCCCAAGAAGACAGTAAGAGGTTCTGTGACAGGAGGAGGAAGGGAGAATTGGTCATACACCCTGGGGATCGGGTTTGGTTGTCAACAGCCAACCTAAAACTGACATGCCCATCCAGAAAATTGGCACCTAAATTTGTGGGACCCTTCCCAGTAGAACGCAAGGTTAATGAAGTGGCATTTAAACTGTCTCTCCCCGAGTCCCTCAAAATACATCCAGTCTTCCATGTATCATTATTAAAACCTGCAGTTCCAGACCCCTTTTTAGACCGCAGGTCTAGACCTCCAGAAGCCATAGATATCAACGGGGAGGAGGAATTTGAGGTGGAGGCAATCTTGGATTGTAGGAAGAGGGGTGGTCAGGTGCAATACCTGATCAAGTGGAAAGGCTTTGGGCCAGAGGAGAATTCGTGGGAACCAGCCCAGAATGTCCATGCCCCCAGATTAATACGGGAATTCCATCGTAGCCAGCCGCAAAGGAGGAATCGGGTGGGCATCCGGAGGCTGCCCGTAAGGGGGGGCAATGTCAGGGAATGGGAAGATCGCCTCGGCGATCGAATCTGCACATGCGTAGAATCCTGACAAGACATACAGGCAGGCAGGCACTAGGACCCAGGCGCGCCTGTCACCAATGACGGCGCCGGGCAGGCCCTAGGACCCAGGAGCGCCTGTCAGGAGTTGGGCGGCCTATTTAAACCCAGCTCTTGCAATGCTCAAGTGCCGTATGGTCTTACCTGTTACCTGTGTTCCTGTTTGATCCAGTGTTCCTGAATACCTTGTTGCCGACCCAGCCTGTTCCTGATACTGCTGTCTTCTCCTGCTCTGATCCCTGGCTTGTCTGACCATTCTCCTGCTTAACCCTGCACGTTCTGATCTCCTGCTAACGAACTCGGCTTGTGACCTGTTTATTCCTCTGCCTGCTGATTTTGTACCACGCTGCCACCACTGTTACCGACCCAGCCTGCCTGACGCTGCTCTTGTGACCTCCTCACATCAGACTCTCTCACCTGCTATACACCTCCAACGGTGCTTCTACCACAGCTGGGTGAACTCAAGGGCCGCGACCTGGTCTCGGCCTGTTCCAAGTCCATCCCCACCATCAGGGGCCCTGGTGAACAAGCAGGTAGGGACTTAGATTCCGCGCCTTGGGGGAATCCGGTCTGTGGAGTGCTAGAGGCTACCGCTGTAGGATCCCTGACAATCTCCTTCTCCATAGGGTCTCTGATGTTAAATCCGCATAAATTTGGATATTTAAATCTCCATACTTAATTAATGATCTTCCTTTAATCTTCCTCCATATCTCATTTTTGACCCCAAGTTTTTGAAACTGGACCACTGTATCTCTTGATCTTTCCTTCTCCGCAGCTTGATTAAACTTTCCTATTCTAAACACTCCATCCAGTTTAATCCCTTCTGTTTCAGGTCTGTCTCTTATGGAGTTTAGAATTTTTACAACCAGGTCATATAGTACTTCCCCTTTTACATGCTCTGGAATTCCTCGTACTCTAAGGTTACATCTTCTTTCTTTATTTTCTTGAACTTCCATCCTATAGAGCAATTTTTTCTGGGTATTCTCCAAGTAGGTTATTTTTTTCTCTAGATTATCTATGGTTTGGGCCTGGTTTTTAACTTTCTCCTCTGTTTCTTCCACTCTCGATAACAGGTGTCCTAAATCATTCCGCACAGCTGTCATTTCATGTTTTATCGTTTTTTCCAGATTTTTGAACATTTCTATCATCTCCTTTTTATTTGGTACTTGTAGTTCACCGTCTGGTTCTTTTTTTTCCAAGCCCTCTGTTGTTGGGTGGCTACAGCTACTATTCATACCCATTGATAATCTAGGACTATTTCCCAGGCTAATGTCCATTTCCCCTTTTGCGCTTGCGCCTTGGGCCCTTTCTGGCATAATATTTCCTTGTGATGTAAATTTCTTTATCGTACCTGTTTGAGACCCTTTGAGCCCTGCACCCTTAGGACCTTTGTTCTTCATGTCCTCTAAATCTCTGATTTCTTCTCTTATTCTCAAGATGGGGTTATATCAGTCCTTTAATTCGTGAACCAGACAGGCCTGCTGTTTTTCCTTATGTTTTTACTCTCCTAGGACACCTGGAGCTCTTCTCATCTTCTCTTTCTTAACCCAGGGAATCCTCCCCTCCTCTCCTTCACCCCTTGGTCTCCTATGTCACTCGGGGATCCCCCATACAATAAGCCCCCAGCAGCTCTCACTCACCCTTCTTCTTCTCCAAACAGTGGCTCCGAGCTTTAGATGTAGGGCTTTCACAGCAGCTCAGTCCTAGGGGGGATTCCTCTGGGTTTCCACTTTTCTCCTCCTGTTTTATATTAAAGGTCTTCCCAGGAAAGCAGGGTGGGTCTCTTAACTCTACTGGGTCACCCAGACCCAGGATCGATCAGCTGGCCGAGGGTGTTTGAGCAAGTATAAGCCGGCAGCTCCCTCTTACATCGGGACGCCGGCCGGTTTTTTTTTTCCTTCTCCCAGAGATCCTCCGGGGCTGGTCACGTGCTCTCACCACGTCATCTCGCCTCTCAGCCTTCCGGATCTCTCCCTTGTGAGGCGCCGGGTGGACCAGCGCGTCACTGCCACCTCCGCCCTGGTCCCATCTCCGGCTCTCTCTCCTCTCCTCCGCTGTTTAACAGACTCCGGTGAGTCGGATCCCAAAATCCCTGCTCCAGAGGGTCACTGGGGAGGTCGGGTAGCGGCGCTTAGCAGGGAGCTATTGCCGCACGCTCCGCACAGCCGCCATGTTCAGGCTCCTCCGTGAGCCAGGCCTTCTCGTCTGACTACACAAATTTGCTTCTGGAAGAATGGTCAAACATTCCTGTAGACGCACTCCTAAACCTTGTGGACAGCCTTCCCAAAAGAGTTGAAGCTGCAAAGGGTGGGCCAACTCAATATTGAACCCTACGGACTAAGACTGGGATGCCATTAAAGTTCATGTGCGTGTATAGGCAGGCGTCCCAATACTTTTGGCAATATAGTTTACATGTGTTATATGAAATGTAAGTGATTTTCTTCTTATTAAATAAATAATTTTAGCAATTTTAAACTAAGGCAAATTTCATTTTTGTTATACTATGGGGAACTGAAGAGCTTAGTGTGAAAGCCTTATAGGGGGCTCAGGACAGTAAGGGCATGTTTATATTAGCGGTTTTGTGTGTGGGGGGGGGTTAAGACGCAATAGTTGAGACATGTTTTTACCCCCCCCCCCAACCACTGGCATCAGGGGTCTTAATGGTGAACCCGCTCCATGCTCCAGGAGGCCCATGTGGCCTCCCTGTTTCATTCTGTTTTACACTTGGACTGGAGGGGTGGCATACACAGGAATCTATCCACTCCATTTTCCCCCTGCATCCGCTGAAAGCCAGCTTCTGCTCCTCTCCCTCCCTCCCAATTGCAATCAGCAACTGCAGGAGGAATATTTTCATTATGCAATTTAAAATAAAAGAATTTGAAATTCTGAACCATTTAATTTCATTGTGGTCCACGACTGATTTACCAGATTGCTTAAGTGGCCTTCGCTCTTCAAAAAGTTCAGCAACCCTACATTATTGCTATTAGGAGTCCATTATGTTTTAAAACATACAGTTGCACAATTTATTGGCACAGAAACTGTAAATATCACTTTCTTTTTTCTTCTCGGGCACCATTCTTATAGTATTAGAACTGCTTAAAAATCTTGGATCTGTTTTATTGTAATAAGCCGCAAAAATTCGGAAAGCTTCCAAGAGTGCAAAGACTTTTATAACAGGTTTCCTTGGTGAATCTGAATATACTTTTTATGAAATAATTTACAATAAAGTTCAACCAACATGTTGAGCTGTTGAAATTAGTAAATCAGTTGATCTGACCTTCATTAATTTTTATTATTTGCTTTTTTCGTGTTCAGAATATGATGCCCTTCTATTACAAATGCAGCAGCTGCACTCAGACCTGGAGATACACAAAAACAGGGCAGCCCACAGTGAGGAGTTTTCAGCAAGACATGCCAGTTCTATTAGGGATCAGCTACAAGAACAGAAGGCAGTCCTGTTGGATACTGACTCACAGGTATGAACTAGTACTACAAATACTTATATCTGATTGGTAATACATTATTTATAACTTCTGATACATTAAGACAATAGACTCCCATGTCCCAAATTTATTCTACAGAAAGATATTATCTTAAACATCTAAGACACAGGCTGGATATTCATAGACCCAGATTTTATAGGACATACCCTCTGGGTGTACACCTATACCTCTAATTCACCTATACCTCTAATGTGAGTTTTTTGCTTAGGTGACAGAATTCTTCCCTATTACACAGAAATCAATCGATACTTAATTTATTATTTTACTTTGGATTCTTCAATCATGGCCTGTAATGTTGGTTCGGGCTCCAGATCCTGCTTGGGCTCTCACTTTGGCACTGAGTACAATGTGTGTTGTTAGCCACAGATGCTATACAGGTTCAGGGCCGTGGTCCACCCCTATGAAACCCAGGCACTAAAGAACCCTCCTAGGGAATGCATACAGTGACGAGCGAAGCCTGGACAATAAATAGAGACCGATAGTCACCCTGTTGTTGGACCAATACTATCGCCTTACACTTATTATGTGTATCCTTAATAGTATTTGTTTTTATGTTAAAACTATAGGGAAACCAGGAATGTGTGAAATATATTCCTTTATGGAGTATAAAACTTTTCAGACTTGGTAAAATTCCACTGTTCAGAGCTTAGTCTAGGTGGATGCCTAGGTGTTACAACTCGTTTTTGGAGATTATAAGTGCTGACAATGGTAAAGATTTTGTACCACTACACCCACCTGGGTTAACCACTTCAAGTCCGGACACTTTTACCCCCTTCCTGTCCAAGCCAATTTTCAGCTTTCAGTGCTATCACACTTTGAATGACAATTGCGCGGTCATGCAACACTGTACCCATATGAATTGTTTAGCATTTTTTGAGACCGATAAAGCTTTATTTTGGTGGTATTTATTCACTACTGGGATTTTTTTTTTTTGCTATGTAAATGAGAAAGTCCAAAAATTTTGAAAAAAAGTTTTTCTTATACAATTTAGCAAATAAATAATATTTCATCATAAATCTTGGCCAAAATGTATTCCGTTATATTTTTAGTAAAAAAAAAAAAATAACCCAAATTAGTTTATAACCAAAAATAATGTTTAAACTTTTTTTTTTTTTACATTTTTATTTATTTTTTTAAATTATTATTTGTTTTTTTTTTTTTTTGTTTTTTTTTACATAAATTCAAAAAAAATAGGTTGCACTTAAATACATACAAAAGTGTAACAAAAAAATAAATAACAAAACAATAAGAAACAATATTTTAAATCAAAATAAAATCCAGCAAAAACAAAAAAGTCCAAAGTTCAAATAATCAATAATGTCCAAAATAATTCATCACCAAGTAAACCCACCACCAAAAATGGTTACATAGAACTCACCAGAGTAATATGCTGATTGTTGAAAAACCAGCATATAGTACTTGTTGTTTTGGGAGAAATGAATAATATGGTGACAACAACACTGAAGAAATGAGGGATGAATTCCAACAGATGATGTGCTGCAAAGTTGAAAATCCACTCTAAAGGTGATTTAGTATCCAAACTGAGAGATGATCAGACCGTCACTCAAAAGAAAAAAGCGAACAATCATGGTGCAGTATGTTTTAAAAAGCATCAAACTTTAATGAAGAAATGCACTTACAAGCAAGGTGTCCAGACTAACACCAGTATAGACAGTATGTATAATGAATACAGGCGACTCAGACCCAGCCAAACATGCACATGCTAGGTGCAGACAAACCAGGAGTATTCTGAACCTCACATCCAAAGGCACCGCCCTAAGCTTTTAGTCATTGATGCTGTCATATAAACAAATAGATACAATAGATGGGTAAAATGTAAAAATATGGAATCTAGCAAACATGACTTCAATATAAACAGATAAAAAAAAATAAATAGATTAAAAAAAAAGATAATTAGGAACATAAACATCTTGGGAGACAGTAACAAAAATAGATACATGTGTCATTTAAATGAAAATCTTTATTCAACATAAACACATGCATCTTGTAATGCACGTTGATATCTCTGCACACCTATCTAAACAAAAACCTAATATATCTAACATAAAAATATATAAAAATATCTATACAAAACATAAACATGATAAAGAAACATAAAAAGAGAAAAAAAAATATGCATTTAAAGGGGCAGTGTCAAATAAATACTAAAGGAGAACTCTGATCAAAAACGAAAAGGATTGTAATACTAATCAACAAAGATAAATTATAATAATTAAGGGGAACTCTAATAAAATAAATAAAAGAAAAGTACTAAAATAAAAAAGGGGATAACTCATGGAAAAATATCTCATAAAAAAAAAAGGATTAAGGGAACTTAAAACACACAATAAAATATCACAAAAAAAATGTTTTGGCATATAAAATGTAAAAAAATTAGTGAGAAAACAATTAAGATCAATATCAACATTCATTCCATTAGGTTTAAGAGCATTCAATTCATAAATCCAATAAGTTTCTTTCTTGGAAATATTATTAATTAAATCCATGCCCCTCCAATGTGATTTAGCCAAATCAATACCATAAAACGTTAATAAGCTCGGATCACAATTATGTTTCATCTCAAAATGCTTCGAAACGCTATGTTTTTTTTATCACCAGGTACCTAGCCTCTTTATCATTCAGAATCCCCTTTTCATTACCTTTCTTAATAATGTGCTTTCATAATATTTTAAGTTTTTTAGTAGGATTACCAGTAAGTTGTCTATATGTGTCTTTAATATTTAATAACCTATTCATTTCAGCTTCATAATCTTCTTTATTAAGGATGACAATACTCCCTCCCTTTTCAGCTCCCCTAATCACTATATTCTTCTTCTTCTCAAGATCTTCAATACCCAAAAGAATGTCTTTAGGAGTATGGTGAAAACCTTTTATACTCAAGTTTCTTAGATCCTTTTCTACCATATTTTTAAATACTTCCAAAAAAAGAGTCCCTTTTGAATAATTAGTTATCTAAGAAATCTGAGAACAATATTCATTACCAATTTTAATATGCAATATCGTAGGGTTGAAAGAATTTTCAAAAAAATATTGGCCTATTTTGTTACAAGATGATACCTTAAAGAAAATTGTTCCTAAAAAACCAATATTTGTCTATAGGAAAAACAGGTCATTAAGGACAAGAATAGCCCAGAATGTTATAGATCCCCCTAAAAGAGTAGAGTTATTTCCAGATCTAAAAGGTTTCTTCTACTGCAACAACTGTATATGTTGCAGAACAGTACGTAGAGAGTCAAAGAAAAATCTTTAATTCGTTTTGTTCTAATAAAGAATATAAAATTAATTCCCTGATTACTTGCAATTCAACCTATGTAGTTTATATCCTAGAATGTCCGTGCCACCTTCAATACGTGGGACGGACAGGGAAATGCCTTAAAATTCGAATAGGTGAACATATTGCCAATATAAAAAAGTGTTTTGAAAAGCATAGCGTTTCAAAGCATTTTAAGATGAAACATAATTGTGATCCGAGCTTATTAACCTTTTATGGTATTGATTTGGCTAAATCACATTGGAGGGGCATGGATTTAATTAATAATATTTCCAAGAAAGAAACTTATTGGATTTATGAATTGAATTTTTTTACTAATTTTTTACTTTTTTTTATATGCCAAAACATTTTTTTGTGATATTTTATGGTGTGTTTTAAGTTCCTTTAGTCCTTTTCTTTTCGTTTTTTTGATCAGAGTTCTCCTTTAGTATTTATTTGACACTGCCCCTTTAAATGCATATATTTTTTTTTCTCTTTTTATGTTTCTTTATCATGTTTATGTTTTGTATAGATATTTTTATATATTTTTATGTTAGATATATTAGGTTTTTGTTTAGATAGGTGTGCAGAGATATCAACGTGCATTACAAGATGCATGTGTTTATGTTGAATAAAGATTTTCATTTAAATGACACATGTATCTATTTTTGTTACTATCTCCCAAGATGTTTATGTTCCTAATTATCTTTTTTTTATCTATTTATTTTTTTATCGGTTTATATTGAAGTCATGTTTGCTAGATTCCATATTTTTACATTTTACCCATCTATTGTATCTATTTGTTTATATGACAGCTTGTTGTTTGTGATAGGATTGTTGGCACAGTCCACTCTCATTAGTCACCAGCTGTCAGTTTGGTGCAGTGAACATTTAATGAACAGCTGACCTCTCACATCCTTCTGCTCTGTGAGGACATCAATGACTAAAAGCTTAGGGCGGTGCCTTTGGATGTGAGGTTCAGAATACTCCTGGTTTGTCTGCAGGTAGCATGTGCATGTTTGGCTGGGTCTGAGTCGCCTGTATTCATTATACATGCTGTCTATACTGGTGTTAGTCTGGACACCTTGCTTGTAAGTGCATTTCTTCATTAAAGTTTGATGCTTTTTAAAACATACTGCACCATGATTGTTTGCTTTTTTTCTTTTGAGTGACGGTCTGATCATCTCTCAGTTTGGATACTAAATCACCTTTAGAGTGGATTTTCAACTTTGCAGCACATCATCTGTTGGAATTCATCCCTCATTTCTTCAGTGTTGTTGTCACCATATTATTAATTTCTCCCAGAACAACAAGTACTATATGCTGGTTTTTCAACAATCAGCATATTACTCTGGTGAGTTCTATGTAACCATTTTTGGTGGTGGATTTACTTGGTGATGAATTATTTTGGACATTATTGATTATTTGAACTTTGGACTTTTTTGTTTTTGCAGGATTTTATTTTGATTTAAAATATTGTTTGTTATTGTTTTGTTATTTATTTTTTTGTTACACTTTTGTATGTATTTAAAGCGCAACCTATTTTTTTGAAGTTTTGTATATCCTATAAGTTTATAGGCTAGGTTTTGCAGCTTACTGTTTTATATAATTTCTGTGGCGCTGGTTCTTTTATTTATATATATATATATATATATATATATATATATATATATATATATATATATATTTTTTTTTTTTTTTTTTTTTTTTTTTTACATACTGTCACCCTAGCAGTACAGTGTCACCATGGTGACACTGTACTACTTGTGGGGTGTGATGAGGATTTTTTTTTTTTCTTTACACTGATTGCTTTTACACCCATAAAGGCTGTAAAGGCAATCATTTCTCCTTCTCTCTGGCTGCATTCTTGAAGCCATTGAGAACTACTGTGTGAACTGTGATTGGTCACAGCTTGTCACATGGTACAAGGCTGTTGTGAATAGCCTTGTACCATGTGACCTCTGTGATCATTCACAGATTTCACACGTAGTAAGCAATGATGTCATAAGTGACATCTTACTACTCTGCGTGTGTGATCACTGATTGGCTCGCACAGAGGTCCCGTATGACGATCGGTGTTCCACTGTGTCCAGAGGACACAGCAGGCACCGGATTGCGGTGCTGTGTGCTTCCAGGGAGCACGCACAAGCAGGGGGCGGGGAGGCCGTTTATAAACGGCCACCCGCCCCTGCACTGCCACCGTTTGGCCGTTTTATATACAACGGTTGGACGGGAGGTGGTTAAAGGGAAAGGCGTAGTTTGAACTGAGTATACAGGTCAAACGAAGGTGAGCGCAATAGTCTGTCAGAGGTGGATAGGCACTAAGGGGTGACACAGGAGCACCATATGTGTATGCAGTAGTGTGAACACCCAGACCCACTTGGATCACAGCGGTATTTAAAGGGACGGTACACCTGCGTTTTGAGACCATAATATTGGGACACTTGTCGATGGTATATTTGGAACACAATGCACAGGAGATATAGGAGATATACCGCACAAGCACATGTGAAGATATTGGAGTATTAAAGGGACAGTTCACTATATTGTATGGTTCATGTGCTATTTTCATACACCATTCATTTAGGAACAATGTAGCAGATATAAGAAGCGCCACAGAAAATACAAAATAAATCAAATAATAAGCAGCACCTCTAACCAAAAAAGGAAAAATAGTGTACAAATAAAAAGTGCGCTAATTATTCACAAAAAATGCAAGGATAAATAATAAAAATATAAATAAATTCATAAATATAAACATAAGTCCAGCTACCATAACAGTGATAGTCCAATATCAATTTAATGTCAATCTTGAAAACAAACACCCATGTGCAAATCCAACACCAGATGAAATTAATACACTCACCAGAGCTATATGCTGATTATATTATAAACCAGCATGATAGCATTTTGCTCTGGGAGCAATGATCTGCAGGATATCCCAGTAGAGGAACAGCAACCAATAGTGATCCAATCAGCACATATGGAACAGCTAGGCAGCACATATGGAACAGCTAAGCAGCAAATGATCTTCCAATAACATGGGCAAAGCTCGAGGAATAAGAAGAGATATGTTGGTGCAGTACGTTCAAAGCCAGTAAAATTTTATTAGTAAAGTATTGCACTCACAAAGAAGGTGTCTAGCCGACACCAGCAATGACAGCCTCTATAATGCCACATCCACAATGGAAAAACCAAGGGACGAACCTTCTGCACCGAGATCAACACAGCTGGGAGGAACATTCCAACGTCACGTCAACTAGGCCAGGTCCTTTGTGAGTTCAATACTTTAAAACCAGTAAAATTTTATTAGTAAACGTACTGCACCATCATATCTCTTCTTATTGCTCGAGCTTTGCCCATGTTATTGGAAGATCATTTGCTGCTTAGCTTTTCCATATGTGCTGCCTAGCTGTTCCATGTGTGCTGATTGGATCACTATTGGTTGCTGTTCCTCTACTGGGATATCCTGCAGATCATCGTTCCCAGAGCAAAATGCTATCATGCTGGTTTATAATATAATCAGCATATAGCTCTGGTGAGTGCATTCATTTCATCTGGTGTCCGGATTTGCACATGGGTGTTTGTGTTCAAGATTGACATTAAGTTGATATTGGACTATCACTGTTATGGTGGCTGGACTTATGTTTATATTTATGAATTTATTTATATTTTTAATATTTATCCTTGCATTTGTTGTGAATAATTAGCGCACCTTTTATTTGTACACCATTCATTTAGCACTGGTATATTCAGTTTTATGGATATTCATGTATATGTGTTTTATTTATATTGATATAGCACATATTATTTTTACATAGCACAATTTTCTGTTTTCACTATTCACATATGCACGTTGAGTTTATTTAGCACCGTATTTGCATTTTTTTTGTTTATATATACATTTATATTGCAAAAATGCTCAGAGGATTTCAAGAATTTTACAATTTTACCTTTTGAAGATATTTTAAAACACCCCCTCAGTGGAATCTTACTTCTTCCTGCTGCATTCTTTTTATGTAAACTCAGGAGCAGCCCTTGAGAGAAAAAAAAACACCCAGGGTGATTGAGCTCAGCAGTGTAGTGAAATTGTATTCTCTTTACAAATACATAAAAACACCAAAGAAAATGTAAAGAAGCTACCATAGTTTTCAGCTCAGTAACTGCGATTAATATGGACTGTAGAAAGAAGGTTTCTTTAATATATACTTTGTGTATTCTGTAAATGCTCAGGTCTCTGCTGTGCATGAACCTCTCACGGGCACTTCCAGCCGGGAATTTAATGGTGGACTCAATGTAAGTGACGTTATGCAGTTACAGAGGGAGAACCGGGAGCTGGAGCAACAGATTGCAGAAAAAAATAAGGTGGGAATGCAAGGAATGGCATGAGAAAATAAAAGATATCTTTTTTTTTTTTTTTTTTTTACATACATATATACAGGTGAAACTCGAAAAAGTAGAATATCGTGCAAAAGTTAATTTATTTCAGTAATGCAACTTAAAAGGTGAAACTAATATATGAGATAGACTCATTACATGCAAAGCAAGATAGTTCAAGATGTGATTTGTCATAATTGTGGTGATTATTGCTTACAGCTCATGAAAACCCCAAATCCACAATCTCAGAAAATTAGAATATTGTGAAAAGGTGCAATATTCTAGATGTCCCACTCTAATCAGCTAATTAAGCCATAACACCTGCAAAGGGTTCCTGAGCCTTTAAATGGTCTCTCAGTCTGGTTCAGTAGGAATCACAATCATGGGAAAGATTGCTGACCTGACAGTTGTGCAGAAAACCATCATTGACACCCTTCATAAGGAGGGAAAGCCTCAAAAGGTAATTGCAAAAGAAGTTGGATGTTCCCAAAGTGCTGTATCAAAGCACATCAATAGAAAGTTTTGTGGAAGGGAAAAGTGTGGAAGAAAAAGGTGCAATATTTTATAACACCAAGTTTTACCTCATTGCAAAATGTAGAACCGTCTGTATGTTGTAAAAATGTATGCATGAGTCACTTATGTTGTGAAGATAGTGTAGTTAAAGACTTGGCCGGGAATTGGTTTTGAATGTTGACTGAACTGAATAAACAGCAGTTTCCTGAAATGCAGCCATATTCTTTTGTTCTTTGTAGACTATTAAACAGCTTCAACAGAGGATGGTGGAACTAAAGAAGACTTTACAGAAAGAGCTGGTGAGAGACTTTGAAGAGTATCTGTATCCATGTTTTGTGTGCTTTGATAATTAGATTACAGTACAGCCTCCAGCTAATTATTTTTATATTTAGCCTTATATTATTACGTCTAATAAGACTTTGTCTGCTTGGGAACAGGAGGGATTTGGGGGTGGGAGGTGTAAGTAATTTTTTGAAGCTGGAGTGAGCTGGGAAGGGAAGTGTTGGGAAACAGTAGTGAGGGAGTAGAGTGAAAACTGAAGGTTGTAGAAATTGGTGAAGTAAGGGATGGGAGAGGAGACAGTGGGTATCAGTAATGCTTGAGTGGAAAGTAGACCAGTTGCCATTGGAGTGTGAAGGTACAGAAAGTTGTGAGATTATTAGCAGTGTCACCTGCAATGATGTCCTCTCCACAATCAGGCAGCGACACCAAGCTTGACAGTGTCAGTCCCACAGACCAGGGGATGTTCACTTACTCAGCCTTTTGGCATCCATGATGCTGTGTGCAAGCATCCTGTTAACCGTCTGGTACACTGTCTGTGCTTTTCAACTTCCTCCTAACTTCCTCCCTGGCCTTAACAGCCATCTACGGACACACCGTGGACAGGCCACTACCTATTAGATGTAAAGGTCCTCTTCGAACACGATGGACAAACATCATCATCATCATCAGTTCCTCCCAGCAGACTCTATTCTGTCCCAGGCTACAAAGCAACAGGAAAGCCTAAGGTGGTGGTCGGGCTTCCCTTTGTGTGCCCATAACCTTACAAGTGTCCCGCGTTCTCTCTCCTCACTGGCAGTCAGAGAGGGAGAACACCTGCAGCATTGGCTGTGTGTGAGCTGCAGCACCTGTTCATGCAGTTTCATGCAGCTGTTGTCCAGGAGGTGCCCCAAACTCTCCCTTCATTTCCATTTCATATGGGCACAAATTGCAATTGCATACCTAGGCACACATTATTGTGAATCACTATCACATCTTAGACCTGGATTTTTATATCCATTCTACACACAAGTAGAATAGGCAAAAATCTTGGGGAAAAAAAGCACAATTACATGGTTCAGCATGCATTGCCCAGGTTGGTCTTCCTGCTGCAAACCCTCCCAGGCTTACTCCTTAACCCCTCTACGCTGGCCGCACACAAATATGTGGCCTCCCGGTGTCTGGGCCTAGACGCCGAGCGGCCGCACATTTGCGTTCAGATACGAAAAAACATATGTGCTGAGAGCGTGCCCTGCGCGCTCCCAGCACACATGTCCGGTACTCACGGAAATGTCCCGGTCTGCTCTTTCGATCACGGCGGTCACATGATCCCTAAACCCCGCCTGTCCCACCTCCCGGCTTCTGAAACTCTTAAAGGGCCGGGAGGTGCCGGCGGGAAGGGGTTAAAGGTGTTTGGAAAACTTTGCAGTTATATGGGCAGGGGATGTGCTGTGTATCATAAGACCTATTGCTTCTACCCAAGTAACAAAGTGGTTACTTGGGTGGGGCTTCCCTGACCCATTCCTATATCGCCCAGCTAACCACCTAACCCAAGTAATTGGTTGGTGCTGCAACCAACATAAACTCTGGGTAGCCACTGACAACATTTTTTTTTATTTCCCTTATTTGATACACCTTGGGCTCTCCAAGCCACAATGATAAAGTTTTAAACTCTTGGGTGGTAACTTGTGGCAACAAATGAGATCTGCAAAATATTCACCATTCCAAATACCTTGGAGTGCCTACTTTCCAAAAAGGGGCTATTTGGGGGGTGTTTGTACTATCCTGGTATTTTAGTATCACTAAACCTGTGATAGGTAGTTGGGAAGTGAAAGGAGAAAATTACAACCTTTGAAAACCTGATGTAGTTCATTGGTTCTTGGCTCAGTAATGCAGCTAGATTCCCAAAAAGTCTCATATGTGTTATCTCCATACTCAGGAGAAGTAACAGAGTGTGCCACTTATACCCATGACTTGTGGTGTAATGCCACGTATGTGTAATAAAAAAAAAATTTTTTTTTCTTCATTTTCCAAAAACATGTGGCACGAGATAAGATCTTCCAAAGACTCAACATGCCTCTCATCAAATACCTTGGGGTTATTTGGGGTGGGTTTAAACTGTCCTGATATTTTAGGGCCTACGAAAATTTGATAGGTAGTCCGGAATCCCAATGCGTAATTAACGCCCTTTAAAAGCCCAAGGTGCTAATTGGATTTTGGGACCCCTTATGTGTCTAGGAACCCAAAATTACCCCGGAAATGCAAATTGCGCGCACGTGTGTGTATGTATGTGTGTGTGTGTGTGTGTGTGTGTGTGTGTGTGTGTGTATATATATATATATATATATATATATATATATATATATATGTAATTTTGCGCAGCCCTGCCGCCCTGTAGCAGTAAGTCTACTATAGGGCGGCGAGCAAGCGGTTAAATACAATCTAAAAGATAATCAAACGTAACCAGTGCTCAAGTCTTCATACAACCAAGGAGATGCCAAAATGCCAACCAAAGAGGTGCTGCCCTTCTAAGATCGGGAAATCTGACCACTAGTGGAAAAGAACAGATAAGGGCGCACTCTCATCGTGCATTACCATTGTAGAACACGTATTTATTGAATAAAAAGAGGATATATACTCACAAACCAACCAGAGCTCTGAGGAAGGGGGTTCAGCTCCTGAAACACATCAGCTTATCCGCATCATTAGACACAGATGTATTGTAACTGTCTTTGTGGACCACTTATACTGCTTTTAATCTCGTTGGTTTGTGAGTATATATCCTCTTTTTATTCAATAAATACGTGTTCTACCACGGTAATGCACAATGAGAGTTCGCCCTTGTCTGTTCTTTTCCACTAGTGGTTAAATACAATCTACTTAACTGGCCAAAAACCACATTTTCACAATTTCACTATTACTGTGAAGAAGTAACAAAGTGTAATCTTGCGAGCAGCTGTGTATCAATTAATTTACACACCCGCTATCAATTATATAAAACCTTATCCTACTTCTCCAATGAAAACTGCCCACCCCTTCACATACTCGCATAAATGTGCTGTATATAGAATAAAACAAAATTATAGTGCCGCAATTTCCTCACAGTACAGATGATTTCCAACCTCATTGGAATGTCAAGTGTCCAATACAATCCTTTGTGTTTCTCCAATGTGTGTAATAAGCCACCAAAGATAAATATTCAATTCGATACATTCAGTGTTTTCTCACCCATTGGTAGTGCACCTTCATCAACACCCCAGATGTGCTCTCACCTGGAGCTATTGACCTCACATATAATGTTTGCTCAAATCGCGTTTCTGGGTTTGAAATTCTGTTATGGGTAGATCACCTCCTCCATACAATTCCTCCTCTTCAAGCCCAGACTGGGACAAAAAATAGGCCCGGGCACTTTATACTGAGCAGCCAGTTTCTCCAGGGACTGGGGGGGATTGAGGAATAGGGGTCGGGCATTCATGGGGGTGGTTGGTGACGGGATGTTCATGAAGTCTGTTCTCCGCACTCTTATGTAAAGGGGCACTGTGATCTTAAGGGGACTGCAGTGTAAAGGGGCACTGTATTGATTACGGTGCCCCTTTACACTGTAGTTCCCTTTATATCACAGTGCACCTTTACGTTACAGTCTCCCTAGCAATCACAGCCCCCTATCACAGTGCCACTTGCAGTCATGCCCCCCCAATCACTTATCCCAGTGCCTCCTTTATGTATTCAGAAAAAGAGATGGCCCCGTCCAGCAGAGAGACGTGCCCCATCCAGCAAAAAGACAGCCCAATCCACCCTCGCTACAGAGGCCCAGTTCACACTGATGCGGTGCGGAATTTGCGGTTTTCTGTGCATTTCCAGCACCACATCAAAATCGCACTCTGTTTATGTGAACTGCTGCAGGTGTGTATGTTAAGGTAAAGACACCCCAAAATTGGGGTGACACCCCAAAACGCAGTGTAATTTTGCAGAATTGGATCCAGTGCTGCAAAAAATGTTTCCGGGACCATTTTGGTGCGGATGCTATGCAATTTGAGCCAATATGAAATGAATAGACTCAGATTGCATTGTTGTAAAAATGGCATGTGATTTGCACAGGAATGCGGTGCGATTCCTCTACGAATCACATGCGATGTGCCACATCATGACAGTGTGATCCGGGCCTTAATGCAGGACACCATGTTGGGTCCAAGAAATTCACTTACATTGTGTGTGTGAGAGAGAGTTCTTGAAAAGAACTGTCTCTCTCACAAAGTGAGTGATACTGAACAGACAGAGAACAACATGTCATGTCAGAAGGTAAAATGACAGACACAGAGCTAGACACCCAAGCATCCTCTCATGATGAACATTTACTGTTAGAAAAAATTAACTCTCATCAGAGTTAAACTAAGTCTTTACAAATTGTCTTATTTGTTCTAATAGTAAATGTTCACTCACTGGCAGTGGCAGGCTGGAACTCACTTTTTCTTTAGCCCGGCCCCCTGTGGTGTCTGTGGCACTGCAGACAGTGACACCTATCCAGCATCAGGCGATGGGGTCTCCTCCAGCTCCTCCCCCTTCACAGTCATGGGTGGCCCAATGGTCAGATGACAGCTAGCTCCCTCCCCCTAGTCCAATTGCCATACTGGAGGGACTGAATGGCTCCAGATGAGGCAGCTGAGCATCTGCATTGTATTGCTCCCCAGCCCCACATCATATTCATGTACATGCAGCCCTGGCCCAACGGGCAAATGCCCGGTATGCACTTTGCCCAGTCCCTGGGCCTGCTCCTCCTTCTTACTCCACCACTCAGCATAAAAAGTAAATAGGCACAGAATTGTGCTTTATCCTTAAAAATGTTTTATTTCTGCATATTAAACAATCAGCCACTCACATGTTTCTGGTACTTGATCGCACCAGATATAGCCAGCTTAGCAATCAACAGCAGGTTCTGTACATATAGCTCAGCATTCTCGTGTTACCAGTCCGCCGCCAGACACCACGAGCGTTGTGACGTCACCAAGCCCCTCCACTTCATGTTGAGTCACAAGGTCACGTG